GAAGCGCTCGGATGATACCACTAACGAGTCCGGAGATGGGGAGGAAGAGGAAACGTTAGAGATTCAGCTGGATTTGGAAGATTTGCCCTCCGTCCTTCGTGGTGAAGAAGGTGCAAGCTTGGAATCAAAGTTGCAGAAACAGATTTCAAAGGTGCTCAGTTCGAAGATGCTGCAACAGTACGGATCGTCAGACGCTGAAGACGGAGAGGAGGGGAAGCAAAAGAAGGAGAAGCAAAAGAAGGGGAAAGGCAAGGGTGAGACACCAGACGAACTTGCCAAAATGTACAACAAGCTCATGGCCGGTGTCAATGGCGCTAAAGAGATCAAGGGATCGGGCAAGGTAAAAAGGGCAAAGGCGCAGCAGGGAAACAACCTCGTCCATTGAGAATGGAAAAGGTGGGTGACAGTTTGAGTGAACGCGTGAAGCGGTTCTACGATGCCAAAGAGCGAGAAGAAGGCGGTGACGGAGGCAAGAAGAAGGAGGCACCGCCTATTGCCGAGCACTTGGAGCTTTGATGGGACTCCTTGTTTTGCGCTGTTAATGTTTAGCTTCTGACTCAGATGGTGGGCGTGCTTGTGGTTTGTGCCGAGTTGATCCATGTCGAGTTGATTCGTGTCGAGTCAGATGATCCAACGTCACAGCCATGTCTGAGTGTAAGAGTTGTCACGCCATCTTCCGAAGCTGACAACGCTTTGACATGGTGTGTTGCGCTTGCCCTGCCGTAGGTCTGATTTGGTATGGAATGGTGGTTGAAAAAAACGTTGCGTGCGATCGTATCGTAACTCGTGTCTGTATATACATGGCGTGTCGGCGTCAACTGCTCGCTGTGCCTTTTGTGATGATCGTCCGGCTCTCTCGATCTATCCCCTCCTCTCCACTTCTCCATCAATCTCTTCTTCCAGCTGCTTCTTAGACGTACTTGCCAAAGAACGGAATCAAACTCTGAGCGATGGTGAAACTGAACACCAACTTTGGTCCCACAACCACACTTTTGGTGTCAAACCCTTGAAAAACGCACTGAAACCTTCATTCTTTACCATCTCCTTGATGATTTGCACACCTCCTACCTTGCTTTCAAAGTTAGCATTCTGTATTCTGGTCTTTACCACATCAAGCGGGGCGGCTACGGTGATGGAAGCGACTGAACCGCCGATGGAAGCGAAGAAGTTTTGGGTCCAGGTGGCATCTGAGTAGTTTTTCACCCGAAAATGTACTCTTTTGTGAATGCACTTCGCCGAACAGTGCGAATGAGCCTGGAGCGTTTCGGGGCTGCGGTCCAACCCCATCCGCGGTAAAGGTTTACGTTTTCGTCGGCAAGGATGCGCAAGAAACCCCTGGATCGGAATGCCTCGGGGTTGGTCTGCCTCTTAATCTTAAGTACGTCTAGGGGTAGAAGTACGATTTCTCCAATACCAGTAAGCGAGCCAGCGGTAGCAGACATGATACTCTTTCCTGCTCGTTCACCGAACAAGTTATCGAATGACTTTTTGTGGTTCGAGGTAAGGTAATCGTTAAAGTAAGGTTGACCACCGAACTTGTAGATTCGTTGAAGCACTTTGTATCCTGCAGCATAACCTAGACCGGGGAAGAGGGAGAGGAATTTGGTGGAGACGTTGGCGGAAGCTTTGTCTTTGAATACGATTTGAGTCATAGATAGACCCGTGGTTTTATTGGACATCAGTCTTTTGGCGACTGTGTCGACAGGGTGGAAGACGAGTAGTTCAGCAATGCCGGATAGACCCGAGCCGAGAAGTCGGGCTTGGGCTGATTCACGCTTCATTCCTGGAGGTGGCGACATTTCGGCGGTGAGATGATAGGAAGGGGTGGGTGAAGGTTGGTGGTGTGAAAACGAGGAAGCAAGGGGTGAGGGCGATGAGGAGATGGAGTGAATGTTGCCGAGTCAGAGACCAATGCACGGCCGCGTGAGAAGAAAGTCGGCAGCCAACGGGCGAAGAAAAAAAAAAAAAAAAAAAAGAAAAAAAAAAGTCGCTTTTTTGAGACGCGGAAACGTGAAATTATTGCCCGCACTCCTTACCCTTAACCAGTGGTTGGCGCTTCGATTCTCGATAACGTTGGATCGGCTCCTCCCAAAAAATCCCGATAACAAGTCCGAGCGATTCCGGCTATCTCACTTTTTCCTTTAGGGGGTATCAAAGTTTTTGCAATTTTAAAAACACGGGTTTTTTCGAGAGCATGTTTTTGGAGGGAATTTGAACCCCCCCCAAGGAAAAGCAGGTTTCCAAAAATGCAATGAAATCATATGGCCGATAAAATACGTAACCTAACAGTGGTCATGTTACTTGTCACTCTCATTGCTATTACCCATTGCTTGCTTATATCTTGCTTTCCTCTTCACACAATGCACTCAATGTAATGTTTCATATGGTGGTGAGAAGAATTGTATTGAACAGAAGAAGAGAGAGTGCCTGTCAGATCGAGAATGGTTGTGTCAAGACTTGCTCCTGTCTCTGAGCTGATGCACTTTGAGTCATGGCAATGTAGTCCACAGTAGTCCTCTCATGACGTCGAGACAATGCAGTAGTGTCTTCCTCATTGCACCCAGTGGATCTGAACAGCACCTGGAACAAACCCTCTCAAAGATCATGTGCAGCAGAACTTCAAAGTCTTGACACTGCATACTGTGACATTCCTTGTGTTGCAGTGGCAAGATCCAGTTCGTATTCCTGCTGATTTGTGCATCTTGTCCTCCTGAGCTCTTGTGTATCACTGGCATCAAGTTGGAGGCTTTGAACAACCTCACTCACCTCATCCTCAGAGAAAGAGGGCAACAGCAGGTTGGCAATATCAGCAGGACGGTCATATTGACTTGCAAAGGTGTGGGCAACAATGCAGGCTTGGATCATCTCGGCAGCAGTGATGTGGTCCTTGAAATGGTAGATGTTACCACAATAGCCTGTAAGGCACTGGAAGCGGTTCTTCAGGTATGCAATGGCATGTTTGACTTGTACTCAGACTCAAGAGAGCATGTAGTTGAAGTGTCAAAGGTCTTGACTCTTGTCAGCAGCAATGTGAGAGAATGGTCCAACTGTGAAGGCAGAATGGCCATATCCACCATCAACCCAGATGAACTCACCTTCATCAAGGTACAGGTGAGGCTTCTTCAGGATGTTGCTGCCTGAGGCCCAAACCTTCGAATCCTGAACACTGCCAGGCTGTCCAACAACTGATTTGACAATCCGAAGTGAGTGTGGCAGGATCACCAGTGCTACATTGATGCTGGGGAAGCCTTTGTAGCAGAAGTGCTCTTGACTGAGCACTCCTGGCTTCCAGGCAAGAGGGATGTGTGTGCCATCCACCACAAGCCAGCCCTTACCCCACTCTTCAACCCCAGTTGTATTGTGCACCCAGGCAGAAGCATGTTGTCTCTCTCCCTCTGAAGCAAACTGCATGACCTCATTGTTTAGCTCGAGGAGGCCAGCAACTGTGTGATTGGTGTATCCAACAATGCTCCCAACACCACAACCACATTGCAAAGCAGCATCATGTTCACCACCTCCATTTCCAGAATGGCCAAGTCTGTACAGAGCCACTGAAAGAATCTCTTGCACTTTGTTGAGAGACATCACACCTGAGCTGCTGTAGTTCCACCAGAAAGCCTCTGTTTGCTGGAGTCGGATGGCGAGATTGTTGAATGCTTCAGGTGACATATGAACAAGTCCATGATACATCCTATGATTGCTTGATTCATACCTGTTGAGAAGGTGGATAAGCTTATCAGCACAGCCAAGAGGAGTGCAATGTGTGATTGTGTACCTTTGCTTGCATATGAAAGTGTACAAGCAGACAAGGTGTCGTGAGAGCAGAATTGGGTCGCCATCATCGTCCAAGTTGTTGATGTCAGTGCTGCAGGAGTGCTGCACTCTGTCAGTGTTTTGGATGACCTCTGCAGGTATAGAGAGCTTGAGAGTGCAGACAATGTCAGTGAGAATTACTTGCTTGTTGCTGTAGCACACCATGGCTGGAAGGAGGAAGGGAGTTGGAGAGGGAGCATGGAGAGGGGGGATGGAGAGGGGGGATGGAGAGGGGGGATGGCAGCAAGAGCGATGCCGAAAGGTTGCAGAGTGGAGTGGTGGTAGTAATGGAAGAGGTGTGAGAGTGAAAATTTTTGTTTAAATGCTTTTGAGCTCATTATGTGACTGTGCTGCACATCATTTTTATTCACCTCATACTTGCACTCTACAGAAAAACACTCAGAAATGACTTTGCATTGAGACTGGATGATAGTACATGTAATGCTACAAGACAGGAAGATTGAATGAAGAGTCTGTGTTATTGTTGTTGTTGCTGGTGTTCTGATGAGCATCCTGTTTGACACTGGCCTGAGAAGCAAGGAGGTGCACCATCTCCATCACCATTTCATGATCACATGCATGAACACATTCATCGCGCTCTTTCTCCTCCCTCTCGTGATGCAGGTGCATCTCCTCGCACTTGGTATGCTCAGTGTCATGGGCCTGGATGCTCAAGAAGCAGGAGGGTCACTGGTTCATATGGAAGGAGCACAGGTATCGAAGATCTAGTTGATACCAGTAGAGAGCATGGTCGTAGTGCAGTCTCCATGGAGACCATGGACTCCTACAGACTCACATGCAAAGGAGGACCGAGCCCATATGCAAGGAGGGCCAGGCACAGCCATGAAGAGGACCAAGCTCAAGGAGCATGCAGATGGTTACCACTCAGGGGCTTGAGAGACAAGAGTCAAAGGAACTGTCACCGGTCAAAAGAGAAGGAGCAGTGTATAGGACACTAGCAGGCAGGTCCTGAGGAAGAGGAGCAGTGTCGAAGGAGTTGACACCAGGTCATGAGGAGGAGGAGCAGTGTCGAAGGAGTCGACACCACTCAAGAGGCACAGGGGTGCCAAGTGTCATGGGCCTGGATGCTCAAGAAGCAGGAGGGTCACTGGTTCATATGGACGGAGCACAGGTATCGAAGACCTAGTCGATACCAGTAGAGAGCATGGTCGTAGTGCAGTCTCCATGGAGACCATGGACTCCTATGGATTCACATGCAAAGGAGCACTGAGCCCATATGCGAGGAGGACCAGGCACAGCCACGAGGAGGACCAAGCTCAAAGAGCAGGCGCAGCCATGAGGAGGACCAAGCTCAGATGGTTACCACTCAGGGGCTCGAGAGACAGGAAGTCGACACAGGTCATGAGGAGGAGGAGCAGTGTCGAAGGAGTCGACACAGGTCATGAGGAGGAGGAGCAGTGTCGAAGGAGTCGACACCACTCAAGAGGCACAGGGGTGCCAAGCAGGAGAGGCCCCTGAGCAGTACTCGATGAAGAAAGTACCCTCTGGAGAGAGAGCAGGAGCAGCATCGCTGGCGATGCTGTGAAGAGGTATATAACCATGCTTTCTCATCATCATAGGTCGAGTGGATCCCCATCCACTCTACTCACCATACAACTAGTCAATACTTTAGAAACACAAGTACTCATTAGTTACAGTCAGCATAGCAGCAATCTATCAAGGTTGCTCCTCATCGTAGTGTGTGTGTTGTATCACCACTACCTGACGTCCGAAGGCGCCCATAGCAGGTTAGCGGTCCGGATATAGATAGAACCGAAGGCAGTAGTCCACTGCGGTCCGGGGATCACTTCAAAGCATCAAGTCAACACACTGGACACTCGTGTTGACGCCACCAACCTTATCACCAACACCATCAACCTCATTATCATTGACATCACCAATCTTATCATCAACACCATCAACCTCATTATCATCGACATCACCAATCTCATCACCAACACCATCAACCTCATCATCATCAACACCCACACCAGACCTTGGTGTCATCATAACACTGATATTGATTGTGCCGAGCTACCCCTGAACGGAGTGTCCACAGAGGTCAGCCGAAACCTACGATAGTATATACAACAAACGCCACCTGCTGTCACTGCACAACTTGATAGTCACCGAGTATCTCGAGACAATAGCTGTCGCACAGTTTGATAGTCACCGAGTATCTCGACAGACCGACCTGGGTTTCAGGCGCGAGACCCCTGACATTAGAGTGGATCGTTCAAGCAGCTCCTCACGATCACCATGATGGACCCAGACCTCAACAATAAGCTCGATAGACTACTCACTCTATTGGAAGCACAGCTAGAGCTTACCAGACAGGGTCATCGAGAGGAATGATTACAACGAGCTCAACTGGGTAGGGAGGAGACAATGGACCTCTCTCACTCGGAAGACCAAGCAGGAGGAGGAGATGAGTCTATGATAGGAGACCCACATACTCCTACTCCGGCTCCACGACCAAGACGATCAGTCTCATTCAACCTGGATGAGCAGGAGGACATCAACTACGAGAAGTATGCTTCACCTACTGGGCCAAGATATGTCAAGACTAAGCTGGACCCCTACAGCAGGACTAGGACGGATCCTTACCCCCTGGACCACGAGGAGGATACCAGCATCATGGCAGAGCTTAACCGGTCAAAGCCCATCGCCACCCCCTTTCCAAAGTTCAATCCCCGAGACATGGAGATCTTCATTCTAGAAGCCGAAGCATGGTTTAAGTTCAACCAGGTGTATGAGCAGTCTAGGATGATCAATCACATGGGTGCTCAACTGGAAGGGACAGCAAGAGAGTGGTGGACCTCCAAGCTCCGTATTGATAGAGCTAGAGAAGGAAGGTTGTTCAATGATTGGCACTACTTCACAGAGCGACTGTTAGAGCAGTTCAACCCACGCAATGCTAGGATGGAGGCATACAACAAGCTGTTGGCTCTCAGACTCACAAGTGATGCTCCTGGTGCCGCCACACGTCATGTAGAGCGGTTCAGAGACTTGGAGGGACAGGTCAACCTAGATGACAACGAGCTAGTGATTGATCTCTTCAGAGGAAGTCTCACTCGCAGCATACAGGAGAAGTTTGAGAGGAATCCACCTGGGAAGAGATGGGAGTGGTATCGAGAGGTTGAGGAGATCGATCGACAGAGGATGCTACTACAGCAGTCCTCGGCTAGACACTCACTTCCAAATGCCACGTCACCTCCACTAAGAACTGGGTCTCGGCCAAATCAAAGTTCGATCCCCATCCGACAACCCACTCAACCTTATCCAGCTCGATCACCATCACAAGCAACTACACAAGCAACTATACAAAACCTAAACCGACCCCTTCCTCATCATCCCACCCAACCCTCGAAGCAAGGAAGCCCTGCTCCATCAGGTATCAACACCTGTCATGTATGCAAGGGTATCGGCCATTGGGCCAGAGACTGCCCCAGCAGGAGGGTAGACCCTCTTAGCTCTCGACCCATGGGACCAAAGGTTATGGTCACCACAGCAGACCCCTTCGAGGAGGCCACCGACTCAGGAGATGGCCACACAGGCAGCACTGAGACGGGTGACCCCGAGGCCATGGACCTCAGCTCATACCAGCAACCCATGGACCCCGATCACGAGGAGGAGCACAATGATGATGACGACGAGGGAAACGTCAGTGGGGTGATGCACTGATGGCATGCATTGCTCTACAAACCTCCTCGCCATCACTCTGTATATATCAAGATTGTCAAGTATGTTTCTCTACCAGTGGAGGCAAAGCAGTACTGGAGCTCTCTGGAATGGTTCAAGACCATCCTGCTCGGATACTAGCTGATACCGGTGCTAGTTTGTCCATAGTCTCAGATTCTTTCATTAGTAAGTACCAAATACCCACAAAACCCATAAAAACAAGATCGATCCATGGTGTCACCGGGCACCAACTCTCCATCAATAGTTCTGCGAGCATGCAGGTATCTATTGGTACACACAATCTGGGTGTGGTCGAAGCTTCAGTGGCCGACACTGCGGACTATGACCTCATCCTGGGGTTCACTGAGCTACGGAGGCTCAAACCCACCATACAATGGGATACGGGCCAGCTGGAGTTCAAGACTCAGGAGCAGGACCGACTCCCTAGGAGACCCCCTGAAGCAGCAAGAGCAGGGGACCTAACCATGAGGAGACCAACCCTTCATGGTAACAAGTTTGTCTCAGCAGAGCGCATACTACGAGCAGCTCTGGAAGATGGACCCATAGGGTTCATGCTGTTAGAGGAGCCACCATCATCACTCCCAGCCTTTGGTTTTGTACCTACAGGCGCAGACAAAGGAGTCGAGATGGAGGTGGAGGTAGATAAGGTGGTGACGGCTGCAGACATACCAAAGCCATACCAACACCTGCGAGATGTGTTTGATGAGGTGGAAGCAGACAAGCTGCCCCATCATACCGAGCATGATCTCCACCTCGAGTTGATAGAAGGAGGGAAGCCACCTCAAGGGCCCCTATACCTTAAGGGACCCAAGGAGATGTCCGAGTTGAGGAGATACTTGGATGAGAACCTCGAGAAGGGGTTCATAAGACCATCGAAGAGCCCGGCACGATCACCAGTGCTCTTCGTACCAAAGAAGGATGGAGGTCTCAGACTCTGTGTGGACTACAGAGGTCTCAACGAGATCACTGTCAAGAACAGGGCACCATTGCCCCTCATCGAGGAGCAGCTGTTCTTACTCAGGAAGGCAAGGATCTATACCAAGCTAGACCTTAGAGCAGCATACAACCTCATCCGGATTGCTAAAGGAGATGAATGGAAGACAGCTTTTGGCACTCAGTTGGGACTCTATGAGTACCTAGTGATGCCCTTTGGCCTAGCCAATGCTCCGGCTCACTTCCAGTCATTCATCAATGACATCTTCCAAGACATCATTGGGATATATGTGGTAGTATACCTAGATGACTTCCTGATCTTCAGTGACACTGAAGAAGCACATGTGAAGCATGTCACTGAGGTCCTCGCTTGCTTAAGGAGCAACAGGCTCTTTGCTAAGCTGTCTAAGTGTGAGTTCCACACCAAGACAGTTGAGTTCCTGGGGTACATCATCAAGCCAACGGGCATAGAGATGGACCCAGAAAAGGTGCGCACTGTCAAGGAGTGGCCAATGCCAGAGTCAATCCAT